CCTGCTCACACATCTGGTTTCAGCTCAGGTGTCCCCTCTTTCCCACGTGGCCTCTAAGCACTGGTCACTCGCTGGGCCTCCCTGAGCCTCCACCAGGGTCAGCCTGGGGTGGCTGAGTGTCAGCTCTGACCTGGCCCTTGGTAACTGGTGGGGGGTGGATGGTAACGTGTCACCTCAGGAGTGAGGGGTGACACCTTCCTTCTGTTCCTCTGCTGCTAGACCCTGGAGAGGTGGGTGGAAGGAAAGTTTTAACCTTTTAGGGATTTAGTGAAGTCCGTCCTGGAGGCTGGGGGTGGGGAGAAGACGACCGGTGCCGAGCGCTGGCAAGATACTTACTTGCTGCTTCCCTGAGTGGTTAAAGGGTACATGGGGTGGGACCTCTGTTACTTATTTACTCACCCATGTGTCCATCCATCCATCCATCCTCCCACCCATCCATCTCCCTGTCCCTCTCTTGCTCTCTCCCTCCATCTCTCCGCTCATCTTTCCACCCACGCATTTACCCATTGATTCACATCCATCCATCCATCCATCCATCCATCCATCCATCCATCCATCCTGCTGTACAACAGACATTCAGTGTGCTTGCTCAGGGCCAAGCCCTGTGCTGGGCACAGGGGACATACAGATAAGTGAAGCATGGTCCCTGGACTCAAGGAAACTTGTCTGGAAGGGTCTCTCCTGGAATCTTCCAATATGCTTGTCTCTCTTACATTCGTTAGAAAGAGGGATGAATCCAACTGAATAGAAAGTTTAGAGCTCCGTACGGAGATGTGAAGTCCCCCAGTGCATGTAGGCTCTCTGGGAAGGAGGCACAGTGGTCTCAAGTCTGTAGCGGAGGGGCTGCTGTGTGTGACGTCAGACGTAACCTTTCACACGTGGTGTAGATGTGAGCTGTGAACATTTCACTGTTTGAGATAAATCACTGGTACTTTATGTTTATCAGGAAATGAACTGATCAAAGTGGCTCAGGGGTTTGATGAAGTTACTATCAATAAGAGAATCCTCCCAAGGAAGAAAAACTGATATGTTGATGTAATTCATTTAAAGATGTACGAACAGGGCTTCCCTGGTGGCGCAGTGGTTGAGAGTCCGCCTGCCGATGCAGGGGACATGGGTTCGTGCCCCAGTCGGGGAAGATCCCACATGCCACGGAGTGGCTGGGTCCGTGAGCCATGGCCGCTGAGCCTGCGCCCCACAACGGGAGAGGCCACAACAGAAAAAAAAAAAAAAAAAAAAGATGTACGAACAAACCACGTGGCATTAGAGGGAAACGTGGAGCTCAGAGCAGCCGCTCCCTGGCAGCACACAGCCCTGTCGGTGTGGGGCTCTGTGCAGGGTTCCTTCCAAGTGGCAGGGGTGCATGAGGACTGTCAGAGAGGCTGTGTGTATGGTGTGTTTTATTTTTATTTTTTAAAAAATTATTTATATTTTTATTGGAGTATAATTGCTTTACAATGTTGTTTTAGTTTCTGCTATACAATGAAGTGAATCAGCTATATGTATACCTATATCCTCTCCTTCTTGGACCTTGGCTCTCCCCTCGCTCCCCCATCCCACCCATCTAGATTGTCACAGAGCACCAAGCTGAGCTTCCTGTGCTTTATAGCATGTTCTTGCTAGCTATCAGTTTTACACATGGTAGTGTATATAGGTCAGTCCTAATCTCCCAATTTGTCCCACCCTCCCCTTCCCACCCTGTGTCCACACGTCCGTTCTCTACGTCTGTGTCTCTATTTCTGCCCTGCAGATAGGTTCATCTGTACCATTTTTCTAGATTCCACATATATGCGTTAATATACAATATTTGTTTTTCTCTTTCTGGCTTACTTTGCTCTGTATGACAGACTCTAGGTCCATCACATCTCTACAAATGACCCAGTTTCGTTCCTTTTTATGGCTAAGTAATATTCCATTGTATATATGTACCACATCTTCTTTATCCATTCATATGTTGATGGACACTTAGGTTGTTTCCATGTCCTGACTATTGTAAATAGTGCT